ATCAGTCGAACAATGTCGTGTAAGGGGGCCGATTACGGGGAAAACGTGTCGTGTTTTTAAAGGGCGCGCTTTATATCGGCGGCCCCGTGATTAACATCTGCACGAGCGTCGCCCGCTAATTAAAAGCCAGATATTAGAAAATTTATGCTCGAATAAAGGAAAGCGGCGAGCGTCACGCGATGGGAGGAAATATAATATAAAAGAAGTTCGACGTCCTTTTCCTTCCTTCCCGGCGAGATCTCGATCGAGAGCTCGATCGATTAAAAGCGATAAACACTTTTGTCGAACAACCGATTATCCCAACAAGCGGGAAAGAAAGAAAAGAACTCGAAACGGGATTTATTCATTTTACCTTCCAAGTTGGAAACTTTGCTCATACCTCGAACACGTAAATTCGGAAAGTAACGACTCGGCCCTCCAATTCTTTTCGGTGCCTCGAGACAGATCGTAAACCTTTCCTCCACAATTACGTCCCTGCTACGAGGAGCGGAACTAGGTTGAAACATAATTCCGAGCCGCCACGATAGACACGTAAATGGTACGCCAACTTTCGCGGATTGAACGGAAATGATGCAGGTGCTGGAACTTTCCCGTTCGACGTCTCGCGATCCTTTCATGTATTTTTTAGAAGAATCGTGAATGGAAGAAGCTACCCTCAGATGGAGATTTAAATTTCAACACCGTGTGTCAAGTTCGTGTCAAGTTTGATATGCAGGAAGTGGTATGCAGAAATTTTCTATATAATAATTTTATCGAGAAATTATGGAGATATTAATTAGAGGGATTGCACTGTATAATCTAAAATAGCCTAATCTCGTTAACAATTACACTCGAAATTTTCACAACTCAAAAAACAAGGTATAAGATGGGCTATCGTGATATCAAAAAAACGTGTGATTAAATTTATGCAAGTTCGAAAATATCAGAAATTTTCTACGATAATTTTATCGAAAGATTGTCAAGAATTATCGAGACATTGATTAAAAAAAATTGCACTGTGAAAAAGTTAAAAATTATTTACGAGGATATAATCTCGATAACCATTATACTCGAAATTTTCAAAAAAAAAAAAACAGGGTACGAGACAAGCTATCGCGAAGAAAACGTGTGATTAAATTTATGAAAGAGGCGGGGTGGTTGCGCGAGAGGAAAGAAGCGAATGCAACGCGGCCGGCGATCACGAGATGAAGAGTATCCGATTCCTCCGGATATCCGGCAACGGTCCATAAAAATCGGTCGCTCTTCGTAAATCGGCGGGCATTCCGGATTTCCGGATTAGCCCAGTCCGCGCATCCGCTCATGCGGCTCGGTCACGTCGTCTCGTAAATTCCTTTCGTTCGGCGGGGGAACGAAACTGGTCGAACGGAGGGCGCAAAACCGCGCGAAACCCACTTCTTCGCTTCCATCCCTTTCGTTTTTCCACTCTTGTGGCGGAAATTGGCCATATCTCGATTGTCGGACACGATGCGTAAGGAGGAAAAAATTGCAACTCTAGACGAGGATGGAACGAAATTTTGCGAATTTTGGTATTTCTCCAAGTTTAAATATTATAAATCGGACGAATTATATTTTTTCGTTTGCGGATAACATACGATATTAAAATTGGGTATGTATTTAAAAAAGTGCATCTTTTGAAAAGTAGTTTTACTTTCTGTGATAAATGGGTTCAAACCGATTTACACGTGGAAGTAGAATATAATTCTGAACCGCCTAGCTACGAGCATCGATTAAAAGAGGTTAAAGAACATGGCGCAACCTCATTCACGCCAAGGGAACAAAAGATTCATTCACCCTCTATGCGAGCCCCTTTTGCCAGTCCCCAACCATCCTATCAACAATTCTTAATGAAGCCACAAAAGGCACGTAAAAACTGTGCATCGAGGCCTTTTATCCGATTTCAAACGAGCGTCTTAATTCCTTTTATTTTCGCGTTCGATAAACAAAAGAGAATCGTTTATTCGTTATTTTAACCGATCATTGTCGATCAGATTCTCGCGTCGATCGAATCTCGTGTATAAAAAAAAAAATAATAAAAGAACGACGACGCATCGCACGATGAATCTATATCAATATCTCTCGTATTTCCAAATATTTTACTGACCAAAATTATTCTATAGAAAATTTCACTTAAAGAAAAAATTTCAATTCTATTCAAAGTACATATCGCGTGATTGACCATGTTTTCTTATCATATTCCCTGCAATCCCAATTATCCTCTAATTAAAATTACACGGGAAAATTCTCTCCGAATTGAAATTCTTATTTTCCTACGAACGAACGGATCGATTGTAACAATAATAATGCAATTCGAAAGAAAAGAAAAAGTTGAGAAGAAACGTTGGAGATTACATCGCGATCATCGATCGTGCTCCATGCATCTTCGCATACGCGAAAGGGTGGTTTTATACGGGCGCGGCACGTGGTCAGTGACGTTTCCACACGTGCTTCTCTCTCTCTCTCCGCGTCCAGAATTAACTCTAACTTGAACCATTCTCTCCCGCAGGACAAGGGTTTATTAATATCGCGGTCGGAACGGGCCGCCCTTTTATTTGGAACGCTCCGCAATCGGATTAACACGGCGCTTACTTCTCGCTTGCGAGATTACCCGAATTACTCCACCTGGGATTTGATACAGGTATGTAATCAGGGTAAGGGAGAAAAAAAAGAATATTAGTAAATAGGGGACGAGTGTTTGGACTCGGGAGAATAATCATGGTAGAATTTATGAGGAAAGGATTTCGATATTTCGAATCTTAACTGTATACATAAATTTTATTCTACGCCTATTCGTATTTATTCGTGTTAAATAATTATCAAGCGTGATTATTTGGGGACAACGTAGTTCGATCGAGTTTATTCAAATTCCTCGAAAATTATTATGATTGAATTGAGACTGTTTATGGAAAATTTGGTATTCCTCGTGATATTTGAAAGAATCTCTGGATCAAAATTCGATTTCGATATTTTCATAGATAGAATATTGTGATCGATCTTTTAATCCGCTGTTTCGTATGTTATGCAAGTATAACGCACAGTATTTGTGAATTTGCGTTCGATTTGAAGTTTTGGGGAAGAGCACGAGGTCGGAGAGGAAGAATTTTACGATAGTTTCAGCGAGAATTTATATGAGAATGGGCGAGAGAAATGTATGGACCACTGCGATGGACGTATCATCGAGGATGCTTGAAGAGCAGAGTGGCAGTGAAGAACGTGGGGGAAGAGGAGCGTGCGTTTGAGATTGGACAAAGAGTGCATGCCGAATCAAGATTTTGCCTGATTGGATTTTCCCCGAATGCGAAAGGAATGGACAGTATAATAGTAACAAGCGTAAAATCGAGCAATCTTTGTAATCTCTAATTACATTGCGAATGTTGCAAATTAAAAATCCGATCTAAGGTGTAAAGAGATTTAAAAACAAGGGAAGCGAGGGAAGAGAAAATTAAATGGCGCAAGTAAGCGTTATATAAGATAGAAAAAAGAAAAATATGGGAAATATAGAGATTGGAAAAATGAGAACGAGGCAGGAAGAGCGAGAGGGAGAACAAATAAAGATTATACGTAAAAAAAAAAAAAAAGAAGAGGAATGGAGATGGACTTAAGTGGAAAGTGTAATAGCGAAGAGAGAAAAAGAAGAGGAATAAAATTAGCGGAAAAAAGGTAACGAAAGAGAGAGAAAAATTGGTCAAGCGTTAAGAGTTAAAAATTAAAGAACACGAGAAGGGATTGAAAAGGAAAAAGAAGGGGTAAGATAAAAGCGAGAACAGCGAGTTGGAAAGAATCTCGAAAAGAGTGCGAGAGGAACAGTTAAAAAAGGGTGAAAACCTGGCGCGACCCGAAGAAGATTAAAGCAAGTATCGGGGAAAGGACGAAAAAGATACGGAAGAAAAGAAGGAAACGTCGAGAATCTTGTTAAAATTCGACAAATGCTTGAAATAAACAAAGAAAGGCGATAACGCATACAAGAACAGTAACTGGAGAGTGGAAAAAAATTGTATCCAACCTGGAAGATCTTGACCAAAAAAGCGAAAGCTTGAAAAATCAAGTAGCAGTGAATTAGTGGAGAATGAAACTGAAGAACGCAGAGGGACGAAAGGTCGATGGAATCGAACGGATAGTCACAATCATTTGTGAATGAAAGAATTCAAAGGACGAAAGAATCGAGCGAAAAAGTTCAAGAGAGGCAAAGGGATAGGGGGATAACCAGAGGGATGGAATCGAAAATACGAATCGAAAACGGGCAAAGGGAGGGGGAAGGAGGTAATGGAATGAAAGGAAAAGAGGAATGCGGAGGATCGTTGGAAGGGAAACGTTTGTAATAAAGTTGAAAAAGGGGTGAGCGTTTATTGACGAATTAATCCGTATAAAGCACCCCCCAGTTGTTACGCGAAAAGCAAACAAGAGCCACCGGGTCCTTGCTCGGCTTTCGTTCAAATTATCTAACCGGAGAGATCGTTATCGACCTACATAGCCGCTAGATGACGATGTTTTTTCCCATCCCAGCGCCGTAATTGCCGCTTTTTCAACCCAAGCGCCGTCGCTTAACTTAATCGATTGCCAACTTTTTGCCGATCGAGCTTGTCGTCGCAGCGTTTACGATTTCACCCTACCGACCGATACAACTACCGATACAACAACATTGCGCTCATCCTCGTGGATCGTGAAATACCGGAGATAGCGCATCGTTACGCTTTGACGTTCCGTTTTGCTGCCCTTTTTTTTTTTTTCTTTCCTTCCACGCTTTATAGGACCGTTCGACGAGGCATTTCGCTCACAATCGTGTTATTTTATTTCACGATTCGGTTAAATGTTCGCATCGAATGGAATATCGAGGAGGGGCGATCCTCGAATATTTATCGTCGATGACACGCAATCTATGACACGCAATGACCACCGTGTTGCTACTTAAAAGAAGAAAGTTCACAGAAGAAGAATTCTGGGATGGAATTTTTAGAGGATCACTGGTTTAATGGTACAACTTCGTATATATAAGATCCGGTTCGAGGAAGCGAGGAATTTAAAAGGCGAGGTATTGATTCGCGGTGGTTTTAATCCAACCGGGCCGCCATGAATCTCCCCGGCTCGTTGATTCGAAACGCTCCCCATTTTAAAGAACACGGCAAACACGTACACGATAATTTAATCATCACGCTCGTATAACAAACCACCTCACCCCCTTCCCCTATCCTACCGCACGTATAATACGTGGCGAGCAACTCGAGAACAGTCCTTTCTCTCTCTCTCTTTCCCTTAACATCTTCGATCAAATCTTCCTCCGGAACGAGCATGCCACTACCTACCCCGGTCCTGTCCTCTCGACTTGGGTCGATGGACTCTCTCTCTCTCTCCTCTTCCGATGCTTCCGTCGCCGCGTAACGCGAAATAAATCGTCCCTCCTACCTCGCCCCACAGGGGGAGGGGGAAAAAAAGCGTGGAGAGGCCCGTCAACAAGGCCTTGCTGGCACCGTGCCGTTGAAATTTCGTCGGTAGATTGTCTTCGACCGCGTTGCCAAACCCTCGAGTCATGCCTCGAAAAACGAAAAAAAGGAGAAAAAAAAAAAAAAGAACGGAGGTTTTCACCTTTTATCTTTTTCTTTCTTTTTTTTTTTCCTCGCGAAGGAAAAATTAATTTCCTCTCCGTGTGGTTACGTTAACGAACACGAAATCGAGGAAGAGAAAGAAGAAGAAAAAGGGGGGGGAAAAAAAATATCCTCGAGCGTTTAACAGCTTTCAATTAAACGAGAAAATTTATAATAATCTCTTAACTCGACGCGGAAAGGTGAAGTTTCTTTCTCTCTCTCTCTCTCTCTCTCTCTCTGGCTTTTCGTAATCCAGTCGTTAATTTAGGGAGTCCGCCTTCTTCGCGATTTCGAGCGTGTTTCGAGCGCGTCAGCGGCGTCGCGCGAGCTTTTCATCATCGTCAAACACGCTGGAATGGAGAGGGAGGAAAGAGGGGAACAGAAGAGAGAGAGAAAAAATTCTCTTCAAACTCTTCGAATGAACTTTCTCCTCCGCCAAACGACGAGGTCTTTGAACTTTGTCCGTCTCTTCTCCTCTTCGCCGTAGCCGGGGGTATTAAACATCCGTGGACCAAGAGGAGGGAGGGAAGGGGAGAGGTGGCGAGAAACGAGACTCGGCCCGCTTCCTTCTTGATATTGTCTCTTAACTCGGCCGCGTCTCGCTCTGGGACCTTCGTAAGTTCGTTTTAATAAACGTTGACGTGAAGCATATCTTCTGTGTGTCCGGCTCCTTTCCGGCTTCTTATCTTTCTTTGCGACGCCTCGTCGCAGGCCATGATCATTGTCCGTTTGATCTTAGATGGAAAGAATGGTCCTATTCCAGGCGGTACTACTTCTCCCGTTTTATTGATCTTGGCATCTAGATTGTGTCGCGGTAGTTATTTAGTTATTATTTTTAGAATTTCCTTTCTTTTCCTTTTTCTTCCTTTCCTTAATTCTGTATTCCTCGATGTGATGGGAGAAATTAATAAATTCTCAAAGTTGGAAAAACAACAAGTTGTTTCCTCGTTCTCTTGATTGTGATCGACGAATAAATAATTTTATCATTCCGTAGAAACGAACGATTTGTTAGTCAAGAAACAACACAATATACGAAATATTCATTTCAACACGTATCGATCCTTTAGACATTTAAATTTAACATTTAATATCAACGATTAATATTTAAATTTTTCAATCCCTCGGATAATTCAGAACGAATTCAACTTTATTCCTTGTTATCCCCAATTTTTCGATTATCAATTTTCCACCGATGAATCCAAATTCCTCCCCAGTTCACGAATTTCACGGATTGTTCTTTTTCTCAAGGCACGTTTACAATGTTGCGGCATGGACAGCAGCAGCGTGGAGGACGAGACGGGGAAGAACTCGACCACACCGGCATCGCCGTGGACCTGCCGCATCTCCAGGTCTGTACAACCCGCCAACAGGCCAAAGTAGTTGGAGGAGGCGTGCAACACGAGTTTCAGATTTAGCAGCAAGTTGCCCGGAGGAGAGTCGAATGAGCTGGCCAAGGCTCCTCTTTAAAGAAACCCTCTCGGTGCCACTTAATCGATCCTGGCCGGCTTTTAGGGCTAATACGTGGACTCGCTCCCATGCGAACACGGTTTACAAGCCGAACGATCAATCTTGGAACGACCTCGATCTCCTCGATTCAGGGGTCACCGATTTAGGGGGCGTTCCGATCCCTCTTTGAAGTCGCGTTTGAAATTATCTTTTTTCTTCCTTTCATTTTTGTCCTTTTCATTTCAAAAAAAAAAAAAATGGAGCTTTTTCTCCCTCGTTCGAGTTGAAAATGATCTTTTGTCCTTAAAAAGTAGCGTGAGAGCTTTTCTTTGAAAAAAAATTCAAAGTTTTCGGGGGGCTTTTGTTTCCTCTTTTTTTTTTGGGGTTGAAACCTTCGAAATTTTTATTTTCCCTCCGAAAAGATCAAAGTTTTCGTTCCATTGGAAGGGAAAACAGAAGGGAGAGTAGAATTCGTTCGTTGAATACGATATATGCACGGTTTATAAGGATCCGTTGACTCGTTTGCCTCGCGTTTAAGTTGCGATTGGGATTCGCAAGAGTTAATCAATCGCTCTTCCTTTTTCCTCGAGTTCGAATTGAATTTGGAAATTTCGAATTTCTCGAGTTGCCTTTTCTCTTTCTTCTTTTTATTAAGACGAGAGAATTGTAGCGTGGAACTTGGAATTTCGAGTGTGTCGTTCACTTTCGAGCGAATTAAAATTAAATCGAAAGTTTGGAAAGCAGGCGGTTCGAGTTAAAACGTTGAACGTAGCCGGAAGTTGAAGCACGGAGAGGTTTCTACAGGCGCGCCGAGTTATGGTAAATTGAATTTTGAAGGAAAAAAAAAAAAAAATTGAATCGCTTTCCCAAACGAGACTTCGAGCCGAGTTTTTTTTTCCTTCGATGGAATTTAATTTTAATCGAATCGTTCGAAGAAAATTAATTATAAAACCCGAGTCCCTCTTAAAATGGAATCTCATTTTAATCGAATGCTCCTTGCGAACGAATTAAATTCGACGCAATCTGTCTTTTCTACGTAAAAAAAAAAAAAAAGAAGAAAAAAAATTAAAAAGCTTCGTATAACTTTCTCATCGTATCTACATTCGTATATATAACAATACGACACGATATAACGAACGATTATTATGAAATGATATTTCTTCGTTAATTTTCCATTATCCAAAATTGGAAAGAAACGTTTAGAGAAAAAGAACCGAGGTGGAAGTACGTCAGCTACGAAACAACGAAAAAAATTAATTGCCACGATTTACGAAGTCATGAGATAAACACACGCGATAATATCGGATGGAAAGAGATTATTAATTAAAGATATCGAATGCAAAGTGAATACATCAAAAATTGACGAATAATTCAACAACATTTTTAAACGCAAAACACTCGCGCGTTTATGGAAAGCGTGACAACTTTTCACAAAGTTCCAAATCTTGGTAGCGCGTAACTTGAATTCCAAAATTCCAAGATGAATTAAAGTTGCGCCGTCCCCGATGATTTTCGGCGAAAACACGATCGCGAAGCGCACGATTTTGCAATTAAACGCACGAGAATGGAAAGTAAACCGGCCGACCAACCAACCAACCAACCAAGACTCATGAACGTCGTTATCCTGAATTCATTCCCCCGTCAAATCGGTATTCGATATGATTCGCGGAATGAAATTCATTAATGCAAATATTCATCGCGGCCCGGATAATCTCATTGTCCCGGATAAATCGATTAACCGATCGATGCTTCTTCCGGCCTGTGACATTCTCTCTATCCCCATTGAAATCTCCCCCCCAACCATTCCCCCAACAATTCCTTTGACCATTTGATAAGAAAATTGCTTTGCGTCTACTGCTAATCCGTCTCTCTTTTTAGATAATAGTTTCCTGGTTAGTCAATAGAGAGAGAGAGAGAGAGAGAGATAGAGAGAGGATATTAATGAGGATTCGTTTGCAAATCGAGGAAATATTCGTTTGAAGGGATTTCACATCATTAATTAATTCTTTGGTTGCTTTAAATTAGCAATTGAAATTGGCTCTCGTTTGGATTTATTTTTAGTAGCTCGGCTCGAAAAAGATGCCAATTAAATCTTTTGCTTTGTTTTAACGCAGAAAGATGATTTAAATGTTGAATTTAAAAAAAAAAAAAAGATAACAATTAACTTAGAATACTTTGTATCTTGTGTCAGCGAAAAATTTTGTCAGTGAGAAAAGTGGTGACATAACTGGGGACAAATGTGTGGCGAGTTAGAACCAAAAAGAAGAAAAAAAAAAAAAAAGAAAGAANAA